TGATGCATGAAGGTGTTGGTAAAATTCAAATGGGAATTTTTGACATAACCATTTTTAGATATTGTGAAACGGGGAGTAACGGTTTGTATCCGCAAGGATGTAAAATAGAGTATCCGATATCGAATATCGGCCCCCCCCCCTCCGGCCACGTTGAGCACTCGAGTGGCGCGGCAGATCGAAGCGAGAAGCATACTTGTACCGCGGCTACACAGGATGGAGACCCCCAAACGACACAGCAAAATGAACATTTCTGGAGACACCAAAATAATTCAGAACACAAGCGACACACGTTTGGCGACGCAAAAGGAGACACAAGTCCCACACAACAATCAACATTACTCCACCATTTCGCGCTACGCGAAATAACCATCGGGAGGATCTTTTTTGGTAACAGGCGCTACGCGAAATAACCATCGGGAGGATCTTTTTTGGTAACAGGCGCTTCCGATCGAGCGCTCCGCCAGCAGCACGATCGTCGGACCCCCCCCCCCCCCCCACCTCATCAGCGCTGTGGTCGTCGTCTTCTTCGTGCTCATGGTGATCGGCCGCCGGGTTCTCCAGCCCCAGAGTGACCCCCATGTCGAGTATGTTCATCAGTCGCCTCCAGGAGAGCCACCTGGACGACGACGACGACGCGTGTAGTTTAGCGGCAACAAAAAGTAGAAAACAAAGTTGGGAATGGGAACCAGAGGTAATTCGTCGACGCGCCTGCTCTCGCCGGCGGCGGCGGGGGTGGCTGAAAGGCCTCGAGCCAAGCCTGGTTTTGAGACCGGGCAGCCGCATCCGTGTGCCCGCACAAGTCATGTTGCTTGCTCTCAACCCAGCTTTTAGTCTACGGTCTGCGTTGTAGGTGGAAATGACGTTCTTCGCGAAAGGACAGCGGGGGGGAAACAACGCTTCGTCGCTTTCGGAGGACAAGCGGTTGGGTGTTGCTGGGATCCACGCAGCGGAGGTCCGTTGGAGAGGTACCCCTACCGAAACAAGGGCGGGGTTGGCCCGGGCCCAAGAGGTTGTCGCTACATATGTTTCACCACCGCATGATGACGAAAAAACACCAAAGAACGAGACGTTCTGGTGAAAGAACGAGACGTTCTGGTGACAGTTTCGCACGGAGACCGGAGAGCCTAGAGCGGGCGTGAGGCGGAAAGGCCAAGGACGAAAAGGGTTCCAAAAACAAGGCAATCGTCTACTCCGGTCTTGTCACCTCAGCTCGGTGAGGGTGGAAAATTGGGCCAGCAGCTTCTTCGCCCACGGACGCCTGTCCGGGTTGACGCCGCGAGCGACCAGAGCGCCGTACAGCTCCAGGGAGGAAGCTGAACGACAAGAGAGAGGGGGGCGGGGGGGGGGAGGGAGGTAGATTGATAGGTAGATACGTAGAGAGAGAAGAGAGAGAGTGAAGAGAGAGAGAAGAGAGAGAGAGAGACAGACAGACAGAGACAGAGTAAGACAGAGAGAGAAATAGAGAGAGACAGAGAGAGACAGACAGAGACAGACAGAGAAAACGTAAGACAGAGAGAGAAACAGAGAGAGACAGAGATAGAGATAGGGAGAGACAGAGGAAGACAGAGAGAGAAACAGAGACGTTGAGGCCGAGAAAATGAGC